CTGAGTTTGACCCCCTACTGCGGGGGGGGGGGGAAGAGTCCACTGTATCTTACACTGAAAGCTGGAGACTTGAGAGAGTGGGAAGGGGTATCATAAAAAAGCAGAAATAAATACTGACATTTTAATATCACTAGTATTTATATTAGTATTATAGAGGGGTAGAAACTAAAGATAAATAAAACCCATACTATGTAGCCAGGCTGGTCTTAAACTCACAGCAATCCTCATACCTCAGTCTCTTGAATGCTGGGACTATAGGCATACAATGCAGTGCTGGGGATTGCATCCACGGCTTTTACACTGATTTATATCCCCAGTCCATTTTTTATTTTTAATTTTAAGGCATGATCTCTCTAAACTCAAACTTGCAGTCTTCCTTCCTCATCTTCCAGGGGATTATAGGCACGTGCCACAATGCCTGGCTTCTAATACTTTTTGTGCCTTAAAGAACTCAAAGTAAAACAAGCTAAGAAGTTATTGAATGGAAAAGGGATTGATGGTTGGAAAAGTAGATTCAGAGGTATTAAACTGTAGTATAGGAAAAAATTAAAGATATGTCTGTTCAGGGAAAAATACTGAAAGGATTATTTTTGCAGGACATAGATCATTTATACTTTTATACATGCATCCCTAGATTACTATTGTAAAACACTGCTTATTGTTCCAAATACTTCCCCTTTTCAGGTATCTGTCATTGGGTAAGTAATCTTTTAAAGTATGAATTTCTTTGTTTTTGGGAAAATAATCCTACAACCTAGTTTCTAATCTTTCAAATAGCTGTGAATCATTTTCTCATATAATGAAAACACTAGGAAAATATTTCTAAGTAGAAATTTTAAAACTGGATATATTCCATTGCTGTATTCAGAGTGCTGCTGATTTTTTGTTTGGTTGTTTTTTATACTATGGATCGAACTCAGGACCTTGTGCTTATAAGGCAGGTGTGGTGCCACTGAGCTAAATCCCTGGCCCTTAAGTTGATTCTTTAAGAACTGTTCAATAATAAAATACTTGTGACCACTGAAACTACTTTTTTCAGATGCTAACTTATTTTTCAGGTTTAAGGAAAGACTAGCTCGAGTCTTTCTCCAATGCAGTTAATATTCCTTTACTCATTTTTCATATGATGGAACAGAAAGACCGAATTATTCAATCTAATGAATGTAAAAACTAAGTTCAAAACTCTATTTCTTCTTTGAGTTCATTAACTCCAATACTTATACAAGAAGTTATAAACAAAATTTTGTATCAACCAGATTAACTTTTTACACTTACAGAAATTTTTAGACTTGCCTACAAATTTGACAAGTATCACCCATAAAAAATAATTTTTGCTTTAGCCAGGCTTAGTACTTATTACCCTATAAATATCTAATTATAAGCCTATGCTGGTATAGTTAGTCAATTAACTTCCAGTCTTATTTCTATTCAGGTTTAGAGATCCTTCAAGGAAATTCCATTACTCTATGATCTTAACCTCCACACAGACACACATTCTTATAGGTCTACTTCTTTAAAATTTGAATATAATTATGGTCTAGAAGTTACTTAAACAGATTTTTTTTTTTTTTTGGTGCTGTTGGGGATTGAACCCTGAGCCATGAGCTACATATCCCCAGACTATTTCATGATTTTATTTTGTGGCAGGGTCTCAATAAGTTGCCTAGATGGGATTTGAAACACAATCTTCCTGCCTTACCTCCACAAGTGCCAGAGCATATGCCACAGCTCCCAGATTTAACAAATCTTTTAACAGTCTTTCACTTTGTCATAAACATTTCATGAAAAATGCTGACTTCATAGTAATCCTTCTTCATAGAAAAGAATGATTGTTTTTAGTCTTTTAATGCTTCTAAATTTACTAAATTTTCTAAATTACTGTGTATAGGTGGTGTTCAAGGTCAGCACAGGCAACTATGCAAGACTCTCAAAGTAAGAAAAGGGTTGTGAATCTAGCTTTGTGGTAGAGGTTTTCTCCATCATGCTTCAGTTCCTGGGTTTAATCCTAAATTTAAAAAGAATTATATAATATATACAAAAATTATGTGTGTATTTGTATTTTCAATACTATGTATTACTTTAATATGGAGTAATACCAATAGGCAGCACAGGAATTCCAAAAAATTAGAAGATAAGTGTATTACTCAGAAATAGTTAATGGAAAAGAAACTTGAGACCTGACTTAAAAGAAACATAGTATATGGACAGCAGAACATAACACAATGAAAAGTACTTATGTTAGGGCCAGGGATTTAGCTCAGTGGTGCTGCCACCTGCCTTGCAGGCACAAGGTTCTGAGTTTGATCCCTGGTACCCCAAAAAAAGCACTCCTGTTATACCATATGTCAAACCTGTAGAGAAAATTTGGAAGACTAGAAGATAATACCTGAGAATGCTAGAAAAAGAAAATAAAGAAGAAATTAGCAAGGATTTTCTATAAGCAAAAGCTGAAAAGATTAGGTAAGGAAATATTGTGGTAGTTTCAAAAAGAAGAGAGATTTCAATTTCAACAGGTAATAATGTTATTTTGTTAGGAAAGTAACAATATAAATTGAATGAATTAGGATAAAATTTATAAGAAAGCCAAACTATACTTATAACAATGAAGAGATGAAGAGTTTTCCTAAAATTAGAAATTTCATTTGACTCAGCTATTCCCCTTTTTAGTATCTTCCCCAAAGAGTTAAAGACATCATATTATAGGGATACATGTATTTCCATGTTTATAACAGCACAATTTGTAATATAGCTAAATCTTGGAAACAGCCCTGTACATGTGCCCATTACCAGATGAATGGATAAAGAAAATGTGGTATTCATACACAATGCAGTACTACTCTGTCATAAAGAAAGATACCTGAGGCATTTGTAGGTAAATGAATGCAACTTGAGACCATAAAATTAAGTGCAATAAATAAAATACACAAGCTTAAATATCTCATGGTTTCTACTATACAAGAACCATAAAGAGCAAAACAGAAGATAAATAGAAGTAGGGAAATCTTCAAATAGCCGGGGGAACACGAGCCCAATGGAAGCAAAAGAAAGGGATTGGGTTGGGGGGGAGAAGAATTAAAGGGGGAAAGAATGAAGACAATAAAGCTTTTGCAAATGGGAAGGGGACCATGAGTTGGATGGTGAGGGAAGAGAAAAGAAAGGTAGGGGACAGAAAAAAGAGAAATAGAAATATATTATGTACATGTACCAACTCCCCACAATAATAATAATCATTATGTACTACAAATGTGTACTAATAAAAAGAAAGAAGAGTTTTCACTTTGTATAATATCAGTAGGAAATGAGAATATATCAGAATGGCAAAATATTTCATAGGCTGATAAACATAATTATGAATAGATTCACAAGAAATAATGACAGTGATAGAAAATTCACGCTGAAATCCTTGTAGGAACAACATAATTTAGAAATAGGACAAGGAAAAGAATAAGAGCTGAAAAAGTAATTTTTATTTTGATATACTATCACAAAATATTTAAGAGGACAGATGGTACATCTGAGGGACTAGAGTGGAAGTGGGATAGGTGCTGAATATGTTAATAATACATCATCTACATCAAGCAGTGATAAAGTCTGAGACTAGACAGGGTTATAATTTATTGGTTGATCCCCTGGAGATAAATGAGACAATTAAGAATAAGAGTACAAGCCAGATGTGGTGGCACATGCCTGCAATCCCAGCACTGGGGAGGTTAAGGTGGGAGGATCATTGACGTTCAAGGCCATCCCAGGATACATGGTGAGTTATCCTGAACTGCATAGTGAGACCCTGTCTCAACCCACCCTCCACCCTCCACCCGCCAAAATATCCAAAACAACAACTAAGAGAACAGTGAAATAATATTTTTTTTAAATGTACATTATTTTGGTTAGGCAATGTTCAGGCAATAGGGTCACAGTGGTAAAATGGACCAAGTTGTTGATAAGCGCTCAAGGAATTAGGATAAGAATGTGTTAGTGTTGTTTCCCCAAACCAAGAGTTGATTTTGGGATGATCATCGCTAAAAATTAAGCACAAAGGCTTAATGGGGAAGAAAATGCTATCTGTGGCATCAGCCTGGGCCAAGACAAGTGAGGTCTTTTTTTTTTTGGTATCAGAAATTGAACTCAGGACCTTGTGCTTGCAAGGCAGGTGTGATGCCACTGAGCTAAATCCCCAGACTAGACAAATGAGTTTAAAAATTAACAGCTAACCCTCCCACCCCCAGCACTGGGGGTTGAATCCAGGCTGTTCCCAGCATTTTTTATTTTGAAAAGAGGTTTTACCGGGTTGCCCAGGATGGGCTCAAACTTGCAATGTTTTTTTTGGTACTGGGGATCAAACTCAGGAGCTTTCTCTTGTTAGGAAGGCAGTGGAACCACTGAGCTAAATCCCCAGCCCTTATACTTGCAATCTTAATAGCTCACTATTTCAAATAGTTAATAGGTAGTAGATCTATAGTGAGAATGGGAATTTAGACTTAGTGTAGCAAAAAAAATTTGAGGTATTATGAAGAAAAGGAAAGAAAACAGTAAATAGGGAGAACACCAATCAAGATTTTTGTCTTTTTAAAGTACAGATGTCTGATTTCTTCTT